GTCAGATGCCTAACCAACTGACCCCCCACATGCCCCAGTAATCGCCATTTTGAAGTCGCCGTTAGCCTTCTTGTCTGTGCCTCTCTTTTCATCTTTAATGAAAACACTTTTTGTGTATATCATTATAGCTAATAAGCATGGCACGAAGAAACAGGTTAAACTGTATAAAAACGGACAACATTTAGCATTCCTGACCTACAGAATCAGCAGCTTTGTGTGATTCCACTTAATACATGACACACAAGATGTTCACATAAAGCAGCTCACAGCCCGAGACGCGAGGAGAGGACAGCCCTTCATTCATCATTATTGAGAACATTCTAAATACAGTATCTCTTCCATTTGAGCTGCTCCCAGCCCTGTGGGAGCCTCTGAATAACACTTTTTGTGTAGATGGTTCCCTGCGAAGACCTTCATTTGATCAACTGTGTGTACAATATTGTCTTTTTTTAAAACTCAATAAACATTTATTGCGCACTTAATAGGGGCTAGGCACCGTTCCCAGACTTGGATGCAAGGATTAGTGCATCCCAAGCCCTGCTCTTAGAAGCGCGCAATCTAGAAGAGAGACAAGACTGGATGTAATTACAGTGCAAACTAGCAAGCAACATCATAGATAAAAACAACACCCTGAAAAGATACTTAGCCTGCCTCTCAGGGCACGAAGACCTCAGAGCGGGCGACATTTGTGTTAGTTCTTTTGGGATGAGCAATTTTTTTGGCAGGTAAGAAAGGAACTGCAACGTCACTGCGTGGGATGGCTCGTTCAAAGTCACAGAAACATGACAAGGAAGGGCGTTTCTGCAGAAGATCAGGTCGAATGTAGACAGGACACATGGCGCAGGTGAGAGGCAGGACAAGAGAGGAGGCTTGAATGGAGGGAAGACATGGTCACGGAAGGACTTCCACGGGGAGCCAACGAGTTTCCATTTTGTGCCGCAGGTGGAGAGAGGCGTAAAACACATTCGCAGGGGCTAAGATAGCTTAGAAATAAAACTCCTTTTTCTGCTTCGAATTTATATGTCTGGTCCAGTCATCACAGAAGCATATAGAAGCATTGCATTAGCCACCCAGAGCGTCAGCTGATACAGCAGGACTTTTTTCTGACCCTCCCTGACCCTCCAGACACAACCTGGATTTCCAAGGGGGCAGTTCAGCCCTGCCACCCGTCCGAAACATGGCCGTTGAGCTGTGGTTCCTCACTGTGGCTGGAAGCGCAGTGACAGCCTGTGGCTTTGGCCACCACGTGCCCCTCCAGCGAGGGGCCATCTACATCACTCAGGGGAAAGAACTTGCGAGCACACGCTTCGTGTTTCCATACTTTCCTTGTTGGGTGATTGCAAGATGGACGGTCGCACCTCAACGCAGGGAGACTGATTTCCTCCAAACTGCGGACCGGCTCATGGGTGGCCGGGTCTTCCAGCCACATGACCTGCCATCTGGCATTTGCCACTCAAAATGCCACTCATCAAATAGAATTCCATTATACATAGACACACACACGTATGTATATATGAATACATATGAAGGGGTTATCCCATTTATGTGAATTTTCTAGGTGCATTAAGCTAAGAGGCTGTCAAATTTTTTGTTTTGTTTTAAAAATTATACATACATACGTGCATGCATTCCTTTGTATTATACACGTGTGTGCATACGTACACATGTATATGGATGAGTTGTCCCATTTATGTGAGTTTTCCAGATGCGTTAAACTGTCAGTGACTATCACACATTTGTGTTTGTTTCATTTAAATCGCGTCTTCGTGGAAATGTTTCTGAAAGTGTTAAAAAGATGAGTTCCAGAGTCTGCTTGCCCTATCCGAGTCTCTTTTTCCTCACCTCCTAGCTCTCTGTCCTGGGGCAGGTGACAATCTTCCCGAGCCTCAGTGTTCTCCTCTAGAAAATGAGAATAGTCGTAACCACCCTGCAGGGTTGCTGTGTTCATGAAACGGGTGCACACGTAAAGCATTTGGCCTGTGGTGAACATTCGAGAAATGCTCACAAGTAATATCTTATGCATATTAGGACTGGTTCTTGGATACTGGGGCATCATCATGAGCATTAGTGAATGCAGGAAAACATAGCAGGCACCCTCAGGGCCTATTAAGAGTCAAAAAATTCTTTGCCCCTCTACTCAATGGCACCAGACTGCCAAGCTTCTTTCCAGCCGCATCTGGTTTTTGAGTGTTCCTATAGCCTCCCTTGCTTTCAAACTATTTGTTACCGCATTCTGAAGTCATTAATATATATAAGAACCTAAAGGCTTTGTTCTTCCCTTAGTATTTCACCGACAAATCAAATAATCCAACCTGTTTAAATTCTGTCTAAAGCAGGAGTTTATAGGTTCTGGTTGAACGCCCAGGTCTGTTCTTCAGTGTGTCCTCTGTGCTGTCTCTTTGAGCCTCTCAAAGATCGTTTCAGCTGATTTCAAGATTCTCAGCTATGGAGAGACAAACAATGCATGATCTCACTTATATACGGAATCTAAAATAGTCAAACCCATAGAAACAGAGAGCAGAGCAGTGAATGCTAGGAGCCGTGGGAGAGAAAATGGGATGCTGGTCCAAGGTACGAAGTGTCAGTTACACAGAGCAAGTCCATTCAGGGGAGCTAACATACAGCAACACAACTGTAGTTAACAAGGCTGTATAGTATACTTGAAATTCACCAAGAGGATACATCATAAAGCGATTCACCAAAAGGAAGGCAGGGAGGGAGGGAAGGGGGGAGGAAGAAGGAAGAGAGGAAAGAAAAGAAAAGAAAGAAAGAAAGAAAGAGAGAGAGAGAGGAAAGAAGGAAGGTAAGAAGGAAGGAAGGAAGGAAGGAAGGAAGGAAAGAAAAGAAAGACAAAATGGAAACTATATGAGCTGATATGTTAACTTGATTATGAAACCAATTTTACAATGTATACAAACATATCAAAACATCACGTTGTACACCTTAAATATATACAATTTTTATTTGTCAGTTATACCTCAATAAAGCAAGGAAAAAACGAAATCGCAATTGAACACAATAAGCTAAAACTATGGCATAATTTAAAACAAAGATTATCTACAACGTGTATGAAAGGTGCTGCTCCTGTCAGATGGCCTCTAGAAAAGTGAGAGGGCACTCTTCAAAGTTTACATCGAATATGCGCAACACGGGACTTTAACCGTCCATATCTTTAGGGATTCAACAAAGGAATAGTTGTACCTAACTTCCTTTTTTTAAAGTGTATTTATTTATTTATCTTGGGGGATGGGGGCAGAGAGAGAGAAGGGGAAAGAGAGAGAACCCCAAGCGGGCTCCTCACTGTCAGTGCAGAGCCCAGTGCAGGGCTCGATCTCTCAAACTGGGAGCCGAAACCGAGAGTCGGTTGCTTAACTGACTGAGCCACCCAGACGCCTTCCCAACCTCTTTTTTAAAGCAAAATATGGCCTGTAAATTAAAAAACCTCTGCAAAGTTTTTCTGGTTTTAAAAAGTTGTAAAAGCATGTACTAACTCAACCTATCTAGAACCAAATCTCAGCCCCATAATCCAAATAGTATTTGGTATATTTCTTGATTATTTTTTGTTTTTGGTAATTTTTAAAATAGCAAATCTTCGTGGGCCTTAGTCTGTTCCTTTCCGTGAAAACGTGTAAGAGACCAGAACTGCCACGTTGTCGTCTGTGTGAATGGCATCCCCTGAAGTTGTGCCGGGAAGCAACCCCAAATGAGATTGCCTTTTTTTTTTCATAGGGGAAGAGATTTTATTTATATATTTATTTTTTGAGTAAACTCTAGCCCCGATGTGGGGCTTGAACTCACAATCCTGAGATTGAGCCACATCCTCTACCAACCGAGCCAGCCAGGCGCCCAGAGAGTGCCTTTATAATAAGTTTGTGTGATTTGCATTTTAGGGGCTTGGGGTGCTTTAGGGGCCAAATCATCTCAGTGTCCAAAACGACTCTGTTCAACCCCCACCACCCGGCTCACTCTCCCAGCTCTCAAAGCTTATTAGCAACACTCATCCCAAGTCTGAGAATATATATTTTTTTTCTCCAGGAAATAACCTCTATGCCCTTTTCACCATTTCAAATGTTATAAACCTGGTTCTATAAAATAAAATAAATCCCAGACTTCAGCTAATTCTCTCCCTTTTGGCTTATTAGTAAGTCAGTTCTACATTTTTAATAGACCTGTGTTTATAAGTTTTATACATTTTAATTTTGAAACACTAAATGCCTCCTAACTTGCCTTTCAGCCATGTCCCTTCCTCTGATTAGCCCTACCACACACACACACACACACACACACACACACACAGTGTGACCAACCCCACAGTTTCCTAAACACACATTGTTCTCTCTTGCCCATGGACTATGGGGTCTTTGCACATGCTACTCATTCTCTTTGGAAAGGCCTGTTTCCTACACTGGTAAACTCCTATGCATCCGGCAGAACTCAAGTGAAATGACCCGTCACCTCCCCTTTGAAGGTTTCTTTATCCGGCTGTGCAGGGTTGGGCACCCCTCCCACCCCAAGGTAGCACCCTTTTACTCACCCTATCTTAGCCCTTAGACACTGTTATGTGCTAGCAGACCGTGCTGGGCTGGAAAGTCCTTCGGGATACAGTCCTTAAATCTCTGCTCTGTTTACCTTGTCTAGCACATAGCCGGGACCCAATAATAGGTAAATGATTTCACAAAATTCCCCCCCCTTATCAAAAAAAATGCTGTACCCTCAACTAATTGAGCATATCGTGACCTACTATTTTTGAAGTTCAACACATTGGGTTAAGTGTATCAACCACCTGAAAATGTCGACATTTGAGAAGGTCAGTGTAAATACTTGGGTGAGGGGAGGGGTTTAGGGGTCCTCGTTTTGTGCACCGTTGTTCCTTGAGAGCAAGCGTGATTTCTGCAGGTAGAGAACTCCTCCCCGGGTGAGTGTTGACATCACGGCGTAATGGGGCTGAGAACGTCAATCGCAATCCTTTTGTCTGTTGTTGTTGTTTTTAACTTTTTTAGGTGATAAGTGCTCCTGCCAACTCTCATGGCCAATTGACTCTTCATCGGGAACCTTTCCTTGTGTGTGGAGGGGATGGGTTCACCCAGTCCAACTTCGACGGCTGTGTCTCTTCTGCCCTGTGTGTTCTAGAAGCTTTAAAGAACCAAATTTAGCCCCTGGATCTTTTTTCTCTACCTGTGCTTGGGGTTTCTGGTTTCACAGTTCTCTGTGAGAGATTACTTTGTTTTCTATTTTGCTGAGAGAAATTACTGGAAAATTTTTCGTATGGAGCATAAAATCGATTTCGTAATTTTGATAGTTACAACACAAGTTGCAATGAAGATTCTCTGTACAGTACACCTTTCACGGGGTTTCTGAATTGCCATGATTACTCCTTGTTAAAGAAAAATAAAAAATAATGTTTAAGAATAACAAATAACCCTCTCCCCCCAAAAAAGTATGTCAAATCAAAATAATAGTTCATGTTCCAAAACCTTGATTCTTTTGAGAATTTCAATTCCAAATAAAGAATAATTAATATCAAATCTTCATTTTCAATCTTCGAGCATGACCTTGGTTCAATGTTTTTGCAGATTGCCGAACTACTCAATTCCCCTGAACTGTGGATAACGGAGGGTTCTTTCTGTGTCTCTCAAGTTATTAAATGATCCTGACCTGTAGGTCTCAGGTGTCATCATCTCCAGGATTGTGGTTTGGAGGGCAATCGACTGACAAAGAAACCTGTTTTCACATTTTCAGAAAATAACCAGATTCAACTGGACTTTCCAAGTCATACGATAGTTTCTAACCTTAAAAAAAAAATTCAGGCTTAATATGAAAGTAACAATTAAACACAAACTGAGAGAAAATATATCGATCTTTATCTTCGGCTGTCTCTGATGGCTGGTGCTGTTACCTTCACGCACTCTCCAGGATGCACTGTGGCATTTAGACTGTGTCAGGTTTAATTAATTTAATACAACAAGAAAATTTACTGAGCTAGAAAATAGATGCACTTAAAATAGTTCAATATTTGCCAGCTTAGTGGTTCAGCATATCACCCACATGCTTCAGTGACCCACATGCTTCCTGCCAATGACTGGCTGGAGAGAAATTGATCCCCAGCCTTCTAAACAAGCTACTTGTTGCTAATTCGAAAAGCAAAATGGCGAGTGCTATTTTATAATTGTGCAAGGAAAGAAATTATTGCGGCCTCTCAGACTATGAACAGTTCAACAAAATACTTCTTACCTTGGTGGTATTGAAGGTTTCACACTCACATGCCTTGTATCATATATACACACACATTGAAAGCATGGGCAGAAATTGCTTATGTGGTAGCACAAAGCAGGCTTTGTGATCCTACGGAATGTTGTTACATGTCCTTTTAGCAACCAACTCATGAAACACTGAAATGCCTACATATGGTCAATGTCACTTATTTTTGAAAGCAGAGAGAGAAAAGGGGAAATTAAGTGATTTCTGATGTGATATGATGAAGAATATTGAGATTCCTTTAATCATTTGGCCCCTATTTGATCAATTTGGTTTTACCCTTAAAGTCTAGCAGAAAAGACTCGAATGTGTTAACCATCTTGTTTTGTTTTTTTTTTAATTTTTTTTCAATGTTTATTTATTTTTGGGACAGAGAGAGACAGAGCATGAACGAGGGAGGGGCAGAGAGAGAGGGAGACACAGAATCGGAAACAGGCTCCAGGCTCTGAGCCATCAGCCCAGAGCCCGACGCGGGGCTCGAACTCACGGACCGCGAGATCGTGACCTGGCTGAAGTCGGACGCTTAGCCGACTGCGCCACCCAGGCGCCCCAACCATCTTGTTTTTAATGAATGTAATTCTGGAGCCATTTGACAGAGAGCGTCCTGAAGTCTGAGGAAGTGTTACGTTTGTCTCATGAATGCACGTCCTCCAAAGAAAAGAGAAGGAAAATGACTTATAAAGTTGGGGTGAGTTACTTGGAGAAAAGAGCTTTCTAAGTCATTACTGAGGGCTTTTAAATATCAATTCCTTCTGAGTATGTTTGCCTAATAATGCTGCATCTGTTTTGAAAACTCTGTGGCAAATATGGGAAAAGATTCAGCCCTGCCTAGTAGGTGGATCATTTCAGTCGTTTTGAAAACTCATCTTACATTTAGATCCCTCTCTGCGAGGAAAAGACCAATTTCCTGATGCTCAAATAAGGAAACAAAATTTATCCAATGCTTGTGTTCTTTATTTTCATTCACCTCTTTCCCTTCAGAAATTAAAATGGCTAGAGAAAAATCTGGAAGCCATCCCAGAGGGCCACAAAACTCAGATGGCCAGGATGCCCTGAATGACCCAGCGCTGGGGTGTCCAGTATGCCCCCCCCCCCAGGGAAATAGGAGTCAGCAGTATTGGGAGAGGTGACGGGGGCGTGTGTCTGTCAGCCCCATAGGACCACACAGCACCACGGTATTTCCAAACAAGAACGTTTATTAAATCAAGACAGCCACGGAGAGCCGCTCTGTTTTGAAAGGAGCGTATTTAAGTGAGAAACGGCTCGAGCAGTGGGGTGATTTAATACTTGTTAGCTGATAAATATAGCCTCCGCCAGAATAAAACTTTATGATGCTGTGTTGAAAAGCTTAATTACTAAACCGTCTATGCAGGTCTTTCTTGCTCAGGCAGCCAGGGTGACAAATTATAGCAGTGGAATAGTATTTTTCACCTCTGGCATTTCTGAAGGGGAGAAGGATGTCTAGAAACACCGAGAACGCGGTAATAATCCCAGACCAGATATTACTGGGGGGGGGGGGGGGGACTTCATTGAGTCACTAAGCCTTCTGTGCAAAATGCCATCATCCGCACCCCCCGCCTACCCACTACCTTGTTAAGCAAAAAAGGACAAGGTCAATTTCACATTTATCTGGTGTTTTATACTCGTCCAAGTGCAAGTGTATATATATATATATATATATATATATATATACTCCAGCCCCCCTAACGCCCCTCTGCAGTATGCAGAGCAGGGAATTCTTACACATGACAAATCAGGAAACTAAGGCACAGGGCTTGGCCAGCCAAGGTCACATAATGACCTGCCAGGACACGAGCAACCCACGCGCCCGCGACCCATTTCTGTTTACGGGGCACCACGCTGCTGGCAGGTGACAGCGACCAGAAGGCCGAGCTGAAACACGAGTTGGAGGGACAAGCCGCACCACGTGGCGCTCTTAGGTTTCATTGCAGAGCGCTCACACTAACGCCGATGTGATATACACACGCGTCTAGCCTGGAATAAAGTCTCCACGAGTCCCGGCTGAGTGACTGATGTTCCCCTTACTTTCATTTGCGGGCTTATTTCCTTCTTCGGGGGTCGCTCGCTATGAGAAATCGCCGCGCGCTGGCGACGCCGAGTTCGGGCGCGGGCGCGCTCGGGGAGCAGCGTGCAGACCCCTGTCGGCCTCGGCGTTCGTCATCCTCCAGCCCTCTGTCCTTTCTCCCCTTCTTGCGCCGTGCTCAGAAACCTGCAATATAAGTGCAAATTTGTGATTCCCTGTTTTAACGTATCTCCTTTTTCCTCCCTCAAATTTAAAGCAATCTGGCTTCTTATTCGAGTTGATGGGACAATCACTGTTTTGATGCTCAGAGGTAATGCAAGCGTTTAAAACTGGGTGTAGCTTTCAGGGATCTTGGTGCTAAAAAGCTAGAACAGATATGCCAAGCAGGGTACCAGACTCTGGACAAAAATGGAACATAATCAGCGAGGTCCACCCAAAGATCCCAGTTAGGGGCACACAAGTCCCACAGAGCGGCGGGCAGGGTAAAGGTACCCGTGGGTGTCATTGCAGGCGGTTAATAAGATGCTGCAGCTCACGGAGCTGGGGAACCCTAAGAGGAGGAACCAAGTTTTCTTGGGAGGGGGACGGTCTCTGAACAGACGCAGAGATGTGTCCGTGAAACGCATCGGACAGCGTCTCTCCCTCCACACCATACCTGGGCCGACCTGGCTGACTGCATGAGTCCAAACTGCGTCATCAATACGGTCAAGACGAGTGCTTTCGGTGGTGAGGGCTCAGTGGGACACAGAATGTGATCTCTGGGAAGAAGAAGAAAAAGGCTGAGCAAACGTCAAACTAGCTGGTGCGGGACCGAGCTGCCGCTTTCCAGTCGGGAGTGTATCCGTGTTCCAGCCGCTACCATCTGGCCAGGAAAGCCAGGGAAGTTGAAATGGCAGTACGTCCTTCGTTTCCTTCTCAACGACGGGCGGGGGATTATAATCCGCTTAAGAGTTCACAGCAGAATGCATCAAATGAGGCGGTTAGGGAGAAAGAATCTTTAAGAGGATGTTCATTTAAAACACATGCAGAATCCATAGAATGCTGGAATGTCTCAGTTCGGAGGGGCTTGGAGACCATTTAGACCAGTTCTTGGCCGTCTTGGATTTCGAATCGTCGTGAGAAGCGACGGAAAACTCTGGATCTTCTAAGGACAGCAAAAATGCACGTATATACATAGAACTCACGCACCATTTTAGAGCCTGCTGGCTAGCTGCCTATCTTTGTAAATAAAGTTTTATCGGAACACAGCCTGGCCAGTTCGTTTGTGTATTGTCTGTGGCTGTCTTTGCACTACAACAGTAGAGATGATTGTTTGCGACAGACACCATATGGCCTGCAAAGCCTAAAATAGTTACTATCTGGTCCTTTAAGAAAAAAGGAAAAAGATCACTGCCGCCTGTTCTAGAGGGTTACGAGGCCGCCACAGTCTATTTTTAGCCACCCAGAGGTCTATGGACCCCAGATTAAGAACCTCTAAATCTCAGCCCTATCACTTTATGTAAATACAGGCTTATCTTAGATCCACACATCTGGTCCATTGTTCCTTGATCTTACACCCTATTGTAAATCCTTTAAGGCAAGCAGTGTAGCTTTGCAGTTAAGAGCACATCCTCCGGGGTTAAATAGATTCATGTTTTAATCCAGACTTTGCTCCTCATTGTGACCTTGAGGCAGTTCAACCACCTCGCAGCCTGCTTTATCATCTGAGAAATGAGTTAAAGGTAGCTACTTCATAGGATTGCTATGAGTCATGAATGCAGATAAAACCTTAGCAGCGTGCCGGACAGGCAGTAAGTGCTTAATAAATGATAATGGCAATGATGAAAGAGACGGGGAGGGAGAGGACAGGCAGATCCTCCCGGTGCCCCCAGGCTCGGGTGAAAGCCAGTTCTGTCTGCATTTATATAGCACATTTGGGAGAGTGGATGGTGAGGCGAGCATGTATGTTGACAGGAGACCCGACGAAACACGGAAGCTTCAAAGCGTCAAACCTTTCTTCAAACCTTCGTGTAGCAGAATGGTGGTGTCTACCTGAGACCAGCCATGGGCCACCTTCTCTTGTTCTGCTCCAGTGGGTACGCAGACACCTGTTGCTTGGGGAAAGGGTGTTTTGCTCAGATGCGGTCCTTGAAAAGAAACCAGGATAGGTCATTACCAGCAGTAGGGCAGGTGCAAAATGTGGGAGCGTTCTCTGCAGTGAACAACATCTTGTCCTTTGTGACTACGTATGTTGCATGCA